TTGTGACAGAGTTTGGAGCGTTTCTGTGACATTGGATGGGAACAGCCTGGTGCTCTTTGCCAAGTATTCAGTGGAATTTATGAAGACAGTGATTGTTGTGGGCGAGGTCCTCATCAACAATGGTGAGGAGTGTGTAGGCGTCTGCCTGCTAGTGACGTTGTCTAGTTTAGTTTTTGAGCTAGTGTTTCCAGAATGCACTTCCTGAACGTCGCATGTTGCGGATGCTACCACACAGAGTATATTATATATTAATAATATAATTTCCAAATTAAAAGTTGACTAGATGGAAAGTCATTTAATACCAGTCCATCCATTCAGGGGGGTCATGATCAAGTTTATTTGACTCTGACCTGATTCAGTCATTTAATATTAAGTATCTGCTGATACAGAGTTCCAATCCATTTTCCTAGATTATACACACTTCAAGTATTGTAAATTAGCTGTAGTACTAGATGCATCCCTGATGAGCATCTTATTGTTAAATACTGTAGCGACCAAAGGAGTCAGGCACTTTCATGTTGGCCAGCAGAGAGCTAGTAAAGTTTAGCTAGTACACTACGTTATATGAAACTAGGATCAACCTGTTTAGCGAATTTATGTCCCAGCAACACATACAACTACAGCCTTTGTGGCTCATAACATATATTTGTGTCAAGAAACAGCTTTGTCAGCACAGGACACCTAATCTATAAACTTTAGATCATTGATTAGTCAGTTGAAAATGCTTTTAAGATAATTATTTAAATTTACATTATCTGTGCCACCACAGACATGAAGAACGGATATTTTAAAAAATAGCCTTGATTGGGCCCAATCTAGATCTTCGGATCGGGACATCTCTACATCCAGAGGATTCTGAGTCAGCATGTTGTGATCTAATATTTATAGGAAATATTGCTGTCATTATATTATTCAATCTAAAACTGCTTTTCCCCCCTTTTTTTTAAATACGGAGGCCCTGAAAACAAATGCTGCTGACTTTCAACTAATTCACAGTACGAACAAAGTGTAACTTCATCCAACTTACAAAAAACTGGTCATCAACTTCAGTAACTTGCCTTCACGTGACAAAATTGACTCTCATCATGTGGTGTGTTCACATCGGAGAGCTTCGTCACTCTGTGTCACTCTCAGCCATACTCAGCAGCTTTATAAGCTGATTGTCTCTGTAATGCAGTCCTGCAGAAGTGTCTCAGTGTTACTGGGTAGAGCTGCAGACATGCACTGTGGCTGATTTGATCTTCAGGCACGTGTAATCTCACTATATTGGTTATTAACAGTAATTAATTTGTCAGCTGCGGCACTAATCTGTTACAAGCAGGTTAGAGTGGTTGCGTTGTAGCAGCCTTATGAATAGCATGAATATTCAATTCAATTCAATTCAGTTTTATTTGTACAGCGCATATTTACAGCAACAAGTCATCTCATAGCGCTTCACAAAGGCAGAGACAGAAACATCCAACAATCCAAAACATCTGGATTCCCTATAAGCTTCAGCAGTCCGCAAGCAGTCCGCAACAGTGGGAAGGAACCGAAAACCCCCACAGGGGAAAAAAAACCTCCGACAGAACCAGGCTCAGGGAGGGACGGCCATCTGCCTCAACCGGTTGTGTGGATGTAGAATGAATTCTAAAATTTAGTTTACAGTTAAACAAGTTATTAGAAGTTATTGTACTTTTGTAACAGGAGGCATCATGGTGGGGGCAGCAGGATGCAGAAAGGTGAGGCCAGCGGCTGTAGTTCAGGAGCTCCAGATCCAGAGACATCCACAGAGAGAGAACAGGCGCAGGAGAACCTCGGGGGGAGTCACAGAGTTGTGATCAGAGACTCAGCTGACTGTACATCAAGTAAAATCTAACAGTCAATAAACCCTGTTTTCTATTACTCTGTTTTTCCACCAGTTCTTTCAAACAGCATTAAACAGGGTCAAGATTTACACACCGCAAAAAGTGCATTTGAGCTGGACTTGAAGAAGCACTAGTTTAAATGACTTTCATTTATACTTCTGCTTTGGTGATGGCAGTTAGTTTTGTGGATTCTATCAACTTGGAATTACACTTCTGTCACCACATACCCTTAAACTAGGATTCAAGTTTTGACAAAAGTGCAAAAGCTAGATTTACTTCTTCTTTAGTGTGTGTCTGATGTCATGTCGTCTATGTTTTTCCCAAATTTTCAACTGCAACCATTTTTTGTTGTTTTTTTGTGTGTAACATTAAAGAAAAGGGGAAAAAACTGTAAGTTTATTGAGAAAATCCTGTTTTACAGTTTACGTTTGGACAAAGCGAATGCTTAAGTTGGAAAACTGAAAACTTCAGAAAACTGAAAAAAAGAAACCTTTTGATTTAATATGGACAAACTTTATTTGCGTTTTACTAATGTATGTATTTCAGTTCATTAAAATGTCCCCTGCTTTTGCCCTGATTCGGCTGGGTTAGACTCCAGCCTCCCTGTGACCCTAATGAGGATTAAGTGGTGTATAGATAATGGATGGAGAGCTGTTCCAACAATTCTCTTGTTTTAGTTTAGAAAATGTAATGGAAATAGGGTTGAGCATAGAGACACATAATGACAGAACAAAATCAATTTAAAAAAAAAAAAATAGGGTGGCTCAAAATCTGGCTGGGGTCGGGGTGGTAATGGTAACACATTCTTGTAGATCAAGTGATTTAAGTTTAAATCACTGGCAATGGTTTTAGAAGGGACAGTAAATGTGAAGGTTGAAATAATGTATTTTTTTTTTGTATGAAACAGAAAATAGCAAAAGGAAACCAAACAGTTTACCATTCAACAAAAAAACTAAACTGAAATGGGGTCAAGAGGACAACTTGGACCTCCTTCTCATTTGTCTGCACTTGTCTTAAATGAGTACTCCCTGAGAGCAGAAGCAGTGGCTGGACTGCAGGATTATGTCAATCTCAGTAGGAACTGTGGAAGTGGGTAATGTCTCCATGGGCTTCATATCGACTGGATATGCCAGTGCCTCAAGTGCCAACAGAGCAGCTCCTTCTAAAAGAAGCCCATCTTGCCCCTCAGCTCTGTGCTTTATTACATAAGTCCTGCTGTCCTATTTCCACCCACCCATCCTGTATGTACGCCACGGTGCACAATCTGGCAGTGCTGAGAATACTTTCAGTACACATATGACAAGTTACAGTACCTCACATCTGTATGCGGGCCCATAAATATTGGATTAGAATACATGTGCTTACTTTCAATTTTACTAATTGATGCAAGCATGCCAACTAGATGAGTTGAAAACCTGGCACCAGGTCCACTGCCTCAGGAACTACAGTAAGATAAATATTTCATATTGTTACACAACCTTCTCAATCAGCCAGTCAGCATAACCCAGTGCAATTGCTATTACTCAACTACATGAGGCGAGCAGGAATGCAGCAGCAGTTTTATTGTTATGGGCAGAGCACTTAACAGTGCCCCCTTTCCACAGCTTTATTGTTTTATCACGTCCCCAGAAATATTCGTTCAGGCCGGAGGGGGAAGGCACTTTAATTATCCGAGTACTGTGCACTGAGCATACAGAGCTTTAAGGACACCTGGTCTATTTCAGAGAAAGTGGAAAACATCATCCCCTGTGATTTTACTTATTAACTAAACTTTCATTTTAATCCTGAGGCTGAGATGAAGGTGATGAAGAGAAGATGAGGTAAAGATGGATTATTAAGACTTATGACAATATATTAAAAGACAGACATGTCAGAAAAATGCAATGTGCTAAAGGTTTGGCTGTGCTTTTTGTGGGCTAACAACATATAACACAATTAGCTATATCCAAATGCATGCAGTAAACACAAGAACAAACTACTATATACACAATAATGCCTTTATAATGGATAATATGCAACAAAGAAAAAGAAATGCACAAGAAACTGTAAGAGAGAACAAGTTTGATACGATGAAAAGGGCATTTTTGCTCTAAAACCTCAGGTTGTAGCAAATTTCAGAAACATACAGTGACTTTATTTATTTTATTTATTTATTTTTAGAGAATCTAGCCATGTGGTTCCCAAATTGTTTGCTTGTGATCCTGTAAAATGAAGTGATGTCTATAAGTGACCCCTTGTCATGAGTTGTATATGAAGAGGTCATTTGCAAAAATAGATAACTCCATTTTTGTAGATTTTCAGAACACTTTTTTGTTGTTTGATTTAGATACTATCAATCAAACTGAAGTTGAGTGGATTTGACTCAGTAGAAATCCATCCATCCAATATCTATACACCGCTTAATCCTCACTAAGGTCGCGGGGGGGCTGGAGCCTATCCCAGCCGACTTAGGGTGAAGGCAGGGGACACCCTGGACAGGTCGCCAGTCCATCGCAGGGCCACACTTGGCCACATAAAAGTGGGTTTTCTGAAGGTTTGGAAAGATGGAGTTATCTGTTTTTGCAAATGAACTCTTCATTTGTCAGTGGGCTCACACAAAGCAGAGGTGAAACTCTCCGATGGTTTTGGATGACCAGATGATGGAGTGATTTGGATACATACCACATGTGCTTAAATGCCCTCAGCAGTCCCTGGTTTGAACTACAGTCAGCCAGACTGTGCTGCAGTCCATTCTCCTGCTCTCCTTCCTGATATTTCCCATCTATCTCCTCTGCACTACATCTAAATATAGGCAAAATGCCGACCTATTTGCTTCACTAAACAATTCAATATGATGTACTACTACTACCAACATGCATCAGTATGTCAGCATGCTGCCACACTGATGCATGTCAAAACTGTATTTAAAAGGTGTAATTTGTCATGTTCACATGTTGACCTAACCTCTTCTGCAAATGTCCTCAGTAGTCTGCAAGACCTTCTTCATCTTTCAATTCTTGTGAAGACTTTTGATTCTCACAAGCGTAGAGCACATGCATCTCTCTGATTTACTGGTGATGAGTTTCAGAGAAGACACAGGCTTCGAGGTCTTTCGCATAATTTCCACCCAAGACAATAGAGACCCAGCAGAGCCTTGCCTGAATTAGCATGTACTCTCAGTGGCCTTATTGCACCGTCTTCCTGTCCAGAGCGGTGAGCAAGCAGTAACTCTGGAGGAAGGGCAGGAGATCGTGGGAACCGGCATGTCACCACAGCCTGGGCCACGTCCCAAAGAAAGCTCCTTCCCGAGAACAACATGACAAACTCTGCTAGCTGCAAAGGAGGGGGAAAGAAACCAAAGAGGAAACTGGAGAACAATGAAGAAATGGATGTGACACCACTGCTCGACTATAGGTCTGGGTGGGAACCCAAAAGTCTGTTGTACTGGAGTCAGAGCCAAGCTTTCTAAAACTCATTGACAAAAAACAAGTCCCAGTTCCCACAGTGACCTTTCCCACGCTGCTGCTCATATTGTATATTTATACTTCTCTTGTGGAACTGTTTCCCCTCCGACTTGTACGCTGCATGTTTGTCTTTTCTTATCTTTGTGGACGTGCTTTGGCTGTTGTTATTTTGAACTTGATCTCGGCTTTATCCAGGCCTCTCAACTGCAGGGATTTCTATGAAGTTGTCAGTATCTGAGTTGGCAACTTTTGCCGCAGCTGCAGAAAAAAAGCAAGAGAGCATGGAAGAGAAAGTCTGGCTTTTTAAAGAATTCTAATGTTACTTTTAGGTTAAATTTCATGTCCTTCTTAACAGGTTTATCAGACTTCCTTAATGGTATCAGGTTTGTTTTTAATTCCTGGTACTTCTACAAGTACTGAGCTCAACTGTTGCTCAAACACTTGTAAATCACATGAATGAGACATACTGTTTCATTGCATTTGTAGCAGTAAATAGTCTGCAACAAATGCACAGATTGCTCCTGTTTGACTTTGCTAAAAACTACAGTGCTTGGCTGTTTAATTAATTGAAACTTAAAAATAAAACTGCACACTTCTTACTTGTATGTGGTCTTTCAAACACGATCATGATTAGATGAAATACCAGAAATTCACATATATCAACACAGTACAAAACTGAACTTAGACTAATTCTGTATTTGGACATCCTTAATGAAACATAAAAGCAGTGACCAAGCAACCAGGAGAGCAGTAAGCTCCTTCATGAATGTAGAACCACTGTGACTGCAGAGTTTGACATCCTGCCAAACCGAGCAAGATGAGCCCTGGTCAAAAGGTAATGACTGCAGTCTATTCAGTGCTTTATATGGAGAGTGGCTCAAAGGAACCAGGTCACATGTGGCCTCAGAGTGAAGATGAGATTCAAATTTCTGTACAACAATGATGTAAAACAGAAAGAAAGACAATACTGCAGTGACTTCAGGACAAGTCTTTCAGTGTCCAGGTGAACCCCAGCCAGTTGTAAGACTTGAACCCTGTCACCTGAAATCTGTAAAGACACAGAACAAGACCATCTAAACAATAGAGGCTCACAATCCAGGCTGACCGAGCTGGAAAGGCTCAAAGGAGAAGTTCTCTTCTTAAAGCTATTCTGTAACCAAGAGGAACATGGTCTACAGGTTCTTTAACAAAAGACCTTTTCTGTAAATATGCAAACCTGTTATAAAGTCAACCTTATGTCTGAGAAATATAATAAAAATGATTTTGAACCGTTAACACAGTGTGCTTTGAAACAAATGTAATGCTGGCTGTTTTTTCATTAACATATGACATCAGGGAAAGTTGTCAATTAGTGTATTCATAAGTCCAAAAAAGGGGCTGCAAGGTGGCACAGTTGGTAGTGCTGCTGCCTCGCAGCAAGAAGGTCACCAGTTCATGCCCTGGTGAGGACACCCGAGATCTTTCTGCGTGGAATTTAAAGGTCCCCCCCAGCAACAAGGAATCCCCCCCAGGTCCCCCGCCTCCCCCCAAAAAGTCCGAAAACGTGTTGAGGTTAGTTGGTGATTCTAAATTGTTCGTAGATGTGAATACGAGTGTGCTTGGTTGTCTGTCTCTAAGTGTAGCCCTATGATAGACTTGTGACCTGTCCAGGGTGTCCCCTGCCTTCGCCCTGATTCGGCTGGGATAGGCTCCAGCCCCCCGCAGCCCTAGTGAGGATTAAGCGGTGTATAGATAATGGATGGATGGATAAGTCCGAAAAGTATTCATACGAAACATAGTGTTAAAACCTCACTGCCAGTGTATTTAATTTGCTTTCTGCTAAAACATCCAATGACTGCAGCGTTGTTAAACTTTTTCTGGTTATGTGTAGGTAAAAAGCCATCACTTGGTCAGGTCATAGAAAGATTATGGTCTGAAAAACTCCACAGTGCCTAATCAGCATTTGACCAAAATGCTTGTTTCCCGAACCTTGCCTGAAGTGCATTTTTTGCCAAAACTACAGGATGCAAATCCCAAAGGTGGTGGATAGAGTCTGGTGCTCTGTGCACCCACCATCTACCCTGACCAACCCCCTGCAACTGCAGTGTGGTATATGTAAAAGTAGCACTTCATTTACTCAAAATTTGCATTAAAAAAAAAAGCAGGCAATGTCTGTTAGCACAACAGAACCAGGAAAAAGCAATTATAATTTCTGGGTCACAATATTATTGATGGGCTGCAAGGTGGCTTGGTGGTTAGCACTGTTGCCTTGCAGTGAGAAGGTCGTGGTGAGGACACCCGGGATCTTTCTGCGTGGAGTTTGTATGTTTCCCCCGTGCAGCGTGGGTTTTCTTCGGGCTTCCTCCCACAGGGTCCAAAACATGTTGAGGTTAATTGGTGATTCTAAATTGTTGTCTGTCTCTATGTGATAGACTGGCGACCTGTCCAGGGTGTCCCCTGCCTTCGCCCTAAGTCGGCTGGGATAGGCTCTAGCTCCTCCGCAGCCCTAGTGAGGATTAAGGGGTGTATCGATAATGGATGGATGATTGGATGGAAGTTTTTATTTAACAATACAGGTTTGTAAGGGATTCGAAAGGAAAAGAGACATTAATTCAGATGATAATCGATAACTACCTGAAAATCCTACACACATTATGGCCTGATAAAGTTCTTCAAAAAGAACTATTTGGCAATTTACATATGAGAAATAAAATAAAATGAAATAAAAGTTCATTTAAGAAAAGTTTGTTGTTTGTTTTGAGTTGTGTTTCCGGTCACAGGGTGAATGCAAGTTAAATGCTCATAGTTCTTTTTGCTCTAATTTAGGTCTCCACCATCTCTTGCGAAATATATGTAACTTGCGAAAGTTGCTAAACACTTCACTACAATATGGTATATTAGCATTCATCTGAAGTAGCTTGTCAAATCTAATACTTTAAGTATAATATGCACATGCTTTTCTCTACCACCTCCTGTCTTCTTCAGCTGATAGATATGTGGAGCTGAGGGAAGTTTCAGGGAACAGAGTTGGGCTTTCTCATAACACATAATCACCTGACCTGTGGTTTAGACAAAAATATTGATTGGTGCAGCTTTACGCTAACAAGTAAACATATGCAGACGGATGAAAGAGTCTAAACACGTTCTGAAAATCATGTTATGTTGCGTATATTATTATGTTAAGTGCAAAACGCTGAGAGGCTTTTGGTTCTAAACCAACTAAGTGAATTATATTCTTGGGCAATTCGACATATTAAATTGTAGCAGGTACAACTATCTATATCGATCTTTTTTTTTTTTTTTTTGCTGCTTCCAAACTTTGAGAGAGAGGAGGCAAACATTGGTGGATGGCAGGAGGGCAGGATGTGGACGTTTGGTCCTCCACACTTCTTGTTGTGATTCTCTCCAGTGTTCTTTTAATCTCTTTGACAAAGCCTCTTGCAGGAAGCTATGCCAGATATGTCCGGCCTGTCATGACTTTTCCAGCAAGGCCTGTAAGTGAAGAATAACACAGTTTCACCGGACAATCCCCAATCGCCACAAACAAGGCCAAACCGAACAACAGAGGGTTTAACCAAGACCACGGTTGTGCCGACTCCAGGGAATTCTTTCCATATTTTGCTTTTGGTGAGTCATTCGATGCCTGAGTGAATCTGGGCAAAACAAGGGCTGCAGGGCACGGATCTGCTTTCTGCATGTCTTCAAAAATAGCTTTTCTTGGCTGGATTGTTGACATTCAATTTTTTTAAAAAAAAAAGCATCACAAAGAACATATATCACAAAGACAGAAAATAAATATTGTGCCTTGAAGGGCAGACAAGAGTTGTTTTTGTATTGCTTTGAATTCCTCACATTCTTAAATCAAAGCAGAAGGGGACAGTATAATTTTATATTATAGTGAGATAATCCTTCTAAATGATACTCCACTCATAGCTTTTCCACACTCCTCTGTAATTACAGAACTTCATACTAAACCACATCTGAAAATACAGATGGACTTTTGTGGCAGTGGGAGATCTTTGCAGTCAGGGTGTGTACCTGCAGTATTACAGGATCATGGAGAATGTTAAACAGTCAAATCATATTTAATGTCTGAATCAGATGTTCGCGTACATTTATTGAACTTGTTTTTGTTTTGTAGAAGTCTGTACCAATCATTTAGAAGTGATGGATTGCGCTTGTATATGAACTGAAACCTGGCTGCCTTTTGGAAAATACACTTTCTTTCAGAGTTAGATGAGAAAATCTAAATAGGAAGATGCAACCTGCAGACATTTAACCAGCATGCCCTATTTTTACACTTAAAAATTAAATGCAAAACAATGATAAAAACACAAAAAATTACCACAAAAATCTACAAAGCCACTATATAGACACCTAATAAAACTACAAGAAAAAAAAATCACAACGAGATGAAAAATGGCCTCAAAGAGACCAAAGATTACCCAAAAGGCGGCAATGAGGGACAAAATGACAACAAATACAATGTGTTAATCAGTTTTGTACTGAATAAATAAAGAAACCATAGGGTTTTGGTTAATTTTCTTATTCCAGTGTTCTCCCAAATCAGAATTTAGGACTTTAAAAAAAAAAAAAAATAAATAAATAATGTCAGGTCCTTAAGTAGTCACATATCAGGGCAAACCATAGTGGTTACAACAGATTCGAGTCAGGCTTAAGTCTGGTTTAAGTCAACAGCTCTACCAATAACTTTGTGTGTATAAATTTGTTGGAATAATCCCAGAAGCAAATACACGGCAAGCAGATGAGTTTTTCATGCCACTTCCATTTCCAGCCAAGGATGAAAATAACAGATGAGCATAAAACTCTGAGCTCAGGATTGTTCCCTCACCCAGCCCTGCTCATATGGCCTCAACATGTTTCCTGACACTGCTTCTAAAAATGTCTACAAGGGAATAAATGATATCATCTTACACTAATATCAGTTCTTTGCAGGGATGTTGTTTGGCAGAGGGTGACCCTGAATGTTTAGGGGAGGTCGCAGCGGATGAAGATAGCTGTAACTTACTGTCAATGTTTTTGTTTGATGCTGTGAGAGTTTGTATTTTATAGACAGAGCTGATGCTTGAATCACATTTTCCCATTGGGCTGGGATGATATTTAGTTTCCACTACGCGAGTATGGTGACCAATAGATTTAGTGATAACAACAATACCATGATACCTATAGAATTTATTTTTTAAAAGCTTGTCTTTTGGGGGCAGGTAGAGTGTCTTGTTTTCCCCCTGTAAGATATTGTGTGGTATTAGCAACCACATTTGCTTTTTATGTTTTATGGCAACTTGCGTTAAGGTGCAATACCACCACCTAGCATGTTGAAGCGTCAACAAGACAGTTACTGGCTCTGGATTATTTGCAATATTATCATACTTCGTTATTAACTTAATATCAGTATTTCTTCCTTCCTTTTTTTTTTTTTTTTTTAAATATTACAGTTATTGTCAGTACCTGTACATCATGACACCTGTACTTGCTCCTAAACTCTAACAGCAAACAAAAGCTTTTCATGCACCGCCAATGTACATTATTGACCTGTTTCTGCACATCACTCTTCCACTGTCTTCATGCTGATTCAAGGTGGAACAAAAAATCTGAACTGATTCCTCTATTATCCTTTGCCATCTGAATGCCAAACAGCTGAATAGTCAGGATAATTCATTCACTATTAATTATGACTCAGATAACAACAATTATACAGGCGGTACACACTGTACAGACTCGACAATGAGGCGGACCTGAACCTGTCTGCAACGTGTTTGTTTGAACATGTTTGAAGCTCCAGAAGGGAGTGGTTTTGCCATAAGATGATCAGGAAGAATCAGACAATCACAGGAAGGTGTCCACTTTTTATTCTGCCCATGCTGTCCTGGTGCAGTGAGCTCTCAAGTAGCAGAATGAGCCTGACACAAATCGCACTCATTCCTTTTCTTTCCCCAGAGATATTGCGCAATATGTGTGGCACAAACAAGTGGAAAGCTATTCAAGCTATTTTATGTCAGGAATAGACAGGGAACCACAGAAATGCACAGTTCCTCATTTTACTGCACTAAAATCACTTGTGAAACCAGAAACATGCAGGGCCTCTGTGGTGCCGTGGAGCTGATATCGCCGATGTGAGGGAGCCCTCTGCAGGTCAGACCGACATGGTGAAAAAAAAGTCTGTTTTGTTGTGTACATTGTGTCCTTTGTAAATAAAGTCGTTCCGATGTAAGGGTCATGAGGTTTTCTTTGTAGTTGTATCAGTGTGACAGTGTATTTAACTCACACACACTCATATCTGATCCCTCTTGAATGAATTTTTTTTGTGCTCAGCTGCAGTCTTTTTAAACACTGATGGATTTCCATCAGACTAAAACAAAAGTGTTCCTTATACACAAGAGCATGAGGTGAAACGGCAAGATTAGAGGGTCAATCATTTGCAGACACAACAGAAGGTGAAATGGGATTATGAGAATGGATGGTTGGTATGTATGACAAAATAATTTAAACTCAAAGGTGCTTGTTATTTTTTAACCTTCCAGACTGTGAGTCGTGGTTTTTTATCAGCAAATGTGAGTGAGGATTGTGATTACCCCAGTTTAGTAAGATGGATGTTGTCTTTAGTAGATTCTTGATTGCTCTCCTGACAGCCTCCCTACCTTCTGGTCAATGAGCTTGGGCCTCATCTCAGTGGATTCGGACTGGTTTTGGTAGCTGGTGATGATGACATGTGGTTGCTCTTCTTTATTAAACTGAGTTGATCCTTTATGCAACTCTAGTGTGACTGTTGCAATCAGGCTAATAATGCATGCAGAGATTATTCAATTTCTTTACTTATTTGAAATTTAGAAGTTTGAAGTTTCATTTAGTTAAAAAGTGCATGAGGACAGACAACTTTGCCCTCCATCAGTACATATCTGCTCCATCTGGATGAAGCTGGCAGGTTATGGGGCATCTTGAGCGTTGCTACAGACCGTTTGTGTAGTCACTCGTACATGCAGGTCTGTCTTGTGCTTGCATTTTCTGCTTCTGCAGAAGTCCAACTAGCTCATGAGGACATTTCAACAGCCGACGCCCAGTCAGAATAGGCAGCAATTAAACCTTACTGTGTAATTCTGTGAACTCCTTTTTATTCGTTGGCCTACAGTGGCTACACTCATGAGACAGATTTATCATCAGTTTCCTACTGTATTCCTACTGTAATAGCGCACCAGGATAACAGCACTAGCAGTATGGCAGTAAACAGCACCCCTAGTGCTCAGAAGAATTGTCCTCCAGGGTGCAAATGGATACAAGCAAGACCTACTGAGTGGTTTGTTCTCTGTATAAATACATCAATACCCATCCATTATCTATACA